CCTAATGACGAGCACTTTGGTGTAATTCTGGCTATGTATACTCGACTTCGGAAGACGAGACAGAAAGACGACGGCCAAGAGAAAAGCGGCTTTTTTCCTTAGCCGTCGTCTCTTATGGTGTGTGGTCTGCACTCGATTTTCTTCTCGTCTTCCGGAATCGAGGGCTTTTGTGGACGCAATGCCTTTGCCGCATTTTAACACTTTGCGCAATAAGAGATGGCAACTGCAGTAAGTACATAAATTGTAAAAAATATAGGCAGAATGGTGCTCCTTGGTACTTGGACCTGTAGCTTGAATTGTACAAGAGTATCGAAATCTTACTCGAGAGCATTGGGAAAAATAGATAAGGCAAAAGATTATAAGATTTCTGAACAGGAAACTGAGCAGGCAACACTTTTTTGACTATTCAGGTTCAGGTCCCCTGTCCCATATATAGGAATACATACGTTTGGAAGAATGCAGTCTCAATCGAGCACTCTTGCGGAAGGTCATGTCTCAAAGGCTATGCTGTCGAGAAGACGCGATCGGAGAAACCATTAAAAGTCGGTGGAGGCCTAAAACTGCTTGGAGCGATGTAACGATTAGGTCGCAGTGAGAACATATAGTTCTGCTGAAAGCTTATACGATGGCTTGCCGGGAAGTTTTCCTGTTCCATTCCAGGAGATGTATTGAGGCAAGAAAATTCGTATATCCAGCATTTTCGAAAATTTGTTATATTTTGCTTTCTGTTATGGTTCTGAGTTTTTCAACATAACCCTTTGTTTTGGCTGATCTGCATTACCGAAAAAGAAAGGTTCCACTTTAGTCAATCTTTCCCTTTTAGTCGATCTCGAGATTAATACGGAAGTTCGCATACATCTATTCTATAGTTGGTTCACGATGACTATCCTCAAAGACAGGATTATGTATTCACAAACTTTTGTGTGAGCAAAGGGAGTGAATACAATTCATGTCCCGACAGTGATGGTTGTAATTTAGGCGGAGTGCTATCCCTCCACTCGTGAACGAGCGCGAGAGCAGGTTTTCTAGTGGGACCTCTTTCCAAAGGAAACTCGTTCTGTTGGACATCGATCAAGAAACCAGAGCAGAAAAGAGGTTAATTAGGCAACCTGAGCCTGTAAGTGTTCATAAAGTCCTCGTATTCAAATTGGGAATAGCTAGAGGTGTAGTTGATGACAATACTAGCAGCAAGTTATCACCATAACAAGAGCTGTCGATTAGACCGCTTCAACAAGTCAAATCGCTTCGCAGTTCCCATTTTGAAATATTGCCCTAGAAATTTTTGGTGAGAACACGTTGAATAGGGATTCCGTGATAAGGTTGCAAATCGAAGAATGGGGACATTCCTGGTGGAGAAGCGGGCGTCTCCTCCTCCCCCCTGACCCAAGGGTGAGGGCGATGCGCGTTCCGCAGCGAAGCGCAGGCCCGCACCCGCGCCGCTCCCGCTTCTGCACGCCCACCGATAAGCAACCCTTCGCCGTCCAATTCCAGACGTGTTGGGAGAACACTTCAATGCAGAAAGCAAAGGGTAAGGAAAGGGTCCCAATTTTCAAGTTCTGAGCCTTCCTCACGGGTTTTCCTTCATCTCTGCACTACTGGCCACCTTTCTAATTTTCATTGTGAACGCCGCGTTTGAAGGGGAGAGTCATTGTGCTCTGCGTCTCTTGTGTTAGAATAGCTCTAGTGCTAAGGATAAGAGCAGGATAAGTACCGCACCACGACCCATGCCTATAAGTTTTGCACTGATTACTGTCTAAAATTTTTCGAAATTAAAAGTGAACTTTAAATATTATATTATTCGAAGAAGTCGCCTCTTGCTACATTTTTTGAATATTTGCCAAGGGTACCAAATATGTCATAGCTATGTTTCCAACCACTTCAACAACCACTGGTTTCTGAGCATCAATGAATATCGAAGAAATTTGAGGTGTATGACAGTCCCACCACACGTCGAATGCGGTAACTAGTGTCGCGCTCTCGATATTTGCTGAGAAGTACCGTATCCGGTGGAACTTGCTCCCGTAATGTCAACCAAATAATGAATTTTTGAAT